TCAACCAATGTAGATTATTTGTGTGCTTTACAGATTGACTTTCTAGCCTAAGAGAAAAATTGCATATAAAAATATAAAATTTTTATATGAAAATGAAAAGTGTTAAACTACCTCCAACCAAATTGCCAAATGCACAATAAAGTACTGATAAAATTGTGCCTGCTTTGAGCAAATTGTGTGTCTGGTTTACTGAACGATAAATTAGTAGTGATGGTTCCATTAAATCATAGTAGCATTACTTTAAAAAAAAATCTTCAGCACATTTGAAATGACTTGATAGTGAAACTTACTTTGTTCTGGCTTTTTAAGTTTGCCCAAATTTTGTGGAATCACCCTGGAGTGCTCAATTAATCATCACATACCTGGGTATGCTTTTCCATTAGTCCTGAGGTAATCAACTCAGTTTACTGTTCTAATAAGGGAGGGAGTAATTGTATCTGTTTTTCTTCTATGGTTCTTATTTTGTTTTTTCAAATATTTCAATAAATATAAATAAAATAAACTATTGAAAGTCTAAAAAACTGATCCCATCTTAGTTACTTTGCTTGTTGCTGAGACAAAATATCTAACACCCAAAATTAAAGAAGAAAAGTTTTATTCGGGTCATGGATTGAAGAGATTTTAGTCCATAGTTAGCTGGCTCCAAGGCAGGGTGGCTTGGCAGAGGGCATTTCGGAGGAGAAACAGTCCATGTCAAAGCAGGACAGGCTGAAGGTAGCAAGCAGCAAGCAAGTGACCAAGAGTCAACCCTCTTTCTTTTTTTTTGGTCTTTTTCATTTTTATCGGTACGAGGGATTGAACTCACGACTGCCTGCTTGCAAGGCAGGCGCTTATGCCGCTGAGCTAAATCCCCAGCCCCAGGAGTCAACCCTCTTTTGTCACTTATATTCCACCCAGGCTTCTCATGAGGATGAGGACCCCCTTAATCCTATCCAGAAATATGCCAAACCAATCAGTATGCCGATTTAGTAATCACACATCCTTGATCCCAGCATCACAGATTTTGGATTCAACCACCTTCCAAAAGCCCTACCTATAACCCCATGAGGCCTTGGAGGACATCTAGACATAATAGATCCCTTTGTATCCACATTAATATTTGCATGTTTATAGATCTAGAAGCTAGAAGAGGGATATTGCTAATTTTTACTAGCTTTTTCTGCCTTTGGCCAACTCTTTGTGGTCAGGTACAGATTTGTTTTTCTACTTAAAGTCCAGCCTTGGCCCAGAGTTTAGGTATTAAACATATGTGGGAGATGGGCTAATTTTATTTTACTTATTATTTTAAAAATTATTATTTACTGATAAAAATGTAGCTCTCCTGGTAAAAACCTAAGACTGATTTTTCTCTTTATGTTATTCTGCAAGATAAATAGTATGAAGTGTAATTTTAGAAGTGTGTTTTGGACTTTGTTCTTTACTTAGACACATAGTTTCTGCATTGTAAGGATGCAGAAACTTGATCCTGCATCTCAGCTTCTTAGCATGATACCGGACAGAGGGAGCTCAGTAAATATTAGTCAGTGTTAACCAAGTACGGTGGCATGTGTGTGTAATCTAGCACTCAGAGGCTGAGGCAGGAGGATCAAAAGTGCAAGCTCTGCCTATGCTATTTAGCAAATTAGTGAGTCCCTGTCCCTAAATAACAAAAGGGGTATGGGTGTAGCTCAATGCAAAGGCTCTGGGTTCAGTTTGTAGTGCCGTATGACAATAAAAGTCACTGTTATTTTTATGATTTATGAGGATTTTTTATTAGAAAAGTACTGCTTTTGTTGAAAAGTATAATTAAAAGTAAAATGTTATCAATAAAGCCATTAGGGCATGCATTTACATATTAGCTTGTTAAGTGCTTGAGATTTCTATTCCCACTTATTGACATGTTTACCTTTATAATATTGATGTTGCTTTAATAATGTTTTGCTTAATTTCACTTCATTATAAATTTGGCATTTTAATCAAGTTACACATTGGGTGTGCGTGAAGAGGAGTCGGTATAGTTTCTGCCCTTAGGAAATGTTTGGAGGTGATAGCATTGGAGAAGTCACTCAGAAGATAGGCAGAATAACTACCTCCATTTCTTAAAACACCTCTTCTTTTTTTGATGTCTTATACTTTTTAAAAAGACCAATAAAGAATTAGGACTCAAGGTACATAAGGGATGGTGACTTTTGTACATGTATATTTGTAGAGAGACTGTTTCTGAGTATTCCAGGATGGAGAATGTTTATGCTGGTGAATGAGATGCCATTCTTTTTTGTTATTAAATACTATAGGACATTCTACATACTCCTTGCTACATTTTCTGTATAGGTGTATAAAATTACCTGCTTATGTGCTTACCTCCTCCTGTTAATTATTATTTAAGCTAAGCCCTACCCAGCTCTGTATCACAACTGTCCAATGAATTTTCCTCTGTTCTTCATTTCTTTCTGTATATCAGTGATTACTTCTAGTATCATTTCCCTTCCACTTAAAAAACTTGCAAACACTGTTTGTACTACAGTTCTGCTGGAGACAGATGTTTTCAGCGTTGGTCAGAGTGTTTTTGTTTTGCTTCTACTTATGAGAAGTATTTGCACTTGATATAGAATCTCAAAGTGGCCGTACTTTTCCTGCAGACTTTAAAGCTGTTATTCCTTAGTCTTTAAGCAGCACTTGCATTGTTTCTAGTGAGAAGTTAGCCGTTACATTGTGCCTTTTTTCTTTTTATTTCTCTGATTGCTGTTTTGTCATTTATCTTTTATCTTTAATTTTAGCAGTTTGACTATGAAATGCTTGTGTGTGCTTATTCTTTTTGGGTTTCACTGAGCTGCTTGGATCTATGAGTTGATATATATATATATATATATATTTTTTTTTAATTCGATTTTCTTAGTGTATTTTTTGATTTAAAAATTTAAAAAAATTTTTTAAGAGCATCTCACCATGTAGTTCAGTTTGGTCTTGAACTATGGTCACCCACGCTGGCCTTGAACGCCCAGTGTTTTTACTGCCTCCGCCTCCTAAATGCTGAGATTAAAGGGATAAGCCATCATACCTGGTTATTTCCTGAAATATTTCTTATGCACTATTCCCACCTTCTCTTCTGCTTCTGGATTCCAATTAACTTGTGTTACACCATTTCATATCGGTTGTTCCTTTCTGTGTTTCTTCCCATAGTTCCCTGCTTGTATTTTAGTTGGGTTACTTTCTGTTGATCTCTTTAGGTTCACCAATTCTTTCCTCTGCTATGTCTAGATAAATTGTTAAGACCATTCAGTGAAATCGTCACTTCTAACTTACTGTTAATTTCCAATGGATTTGTTTTTTAAAGAGTAGTTTTCTGTGAATTTTCTCTGAAACAAATTCTCCATCTCTCATATGTGGAGTCCAGCTCACTCTTTATGTTATTTCCTTTAGCATTTTCCATTGTATTGTAAAGTTCTTCTCTGTTAAGTTCTGACACCCGAGCAATTCCTACATCTGTTGTCTCTTAAAATATGGGTCACATTTTCATGCTTCTTTGTGTCGAGCAGTCTTTAATTATATAGTGACATTTAAGTACTGTACAGTAAGAAATTCCCCTTCAAAAGTTACGTAAAGTAATGACTTTCTCCTCAAAAGTGTATGCCATTCTTCTTCTAGGCTGCCGAATTGGGAGACTGTCATTTTGCGCTCCTGTTGACCTGAGGCTAGCTTCATTGCTTCTTCAGTTTTAATTTAGTTCATCCATGGCTTCACATGGTTCGAGGGCTTAGGATTTGGATATTATTGGGAATCTGGCAATCTTTTACCTTTGCAACTCAGCTACTGGTGTTCAAACCATGGAATCATTTCTTTTTACTTTTAAGTCTGGATGCCTAGTTTTAGGATGAATGTAGAATTCTTGTTCTCTATTCTGCTTCTTATAAACTAAATAGTGTATGCTGACTGTCCTTTGTAAACTGAGATTTTTTAGGGTCAGATTTCTTTGCTAGTTATACTAACTGTCCTGTAGAACACTGTGTGGCACTAAAAGTGTTCTGTGTACCCGCTGACCAATATGGTAGCTACATAAGGCTCTTGAGAGCTTGAAATGTGTCTACTGCAAGTAGGGAAATGAATTTTTAATATTATTAAATTTAATTCAATAGCTATATATAGCTTCTGGCTACCATAATGAGCAAAGTAAGAAATGTATGACTTATACTCATTATGGTAAAAATAATAGCTAAAAGTATACAGCAACAGCAAGCAACTGAAAGGATGATTGATTATACTTTTAAAATATATATGCTTCTATTCTTGACACTTGCCTTGAGACTTTTTGTCCTTTGGTTGAAATGTGAATCTTGAAATACAAGTCTGGGTTCTTTGTGAGGAATGGAACTTATGAAATTCAAACAACTTCAAATAACTAAATACCTGTGCATTTTCCAGTATCAATGAAGTATTTGACCTTGTTACAGAAAAACTCTCATTACAAGAAAAATATAGCCTTGTTTTTTAAGGCTTTGTGTACCCTGCTCTGTAGATTCTCAGGAACTTCAAACACAGAACAACCTGAGCAAATTGAAACGTATTATCAGACTAAAGCTACCAAGGTTTAAGCAGAAGTCAATCCTGCCCTAATGACATATGTTTGGGTACTTGATAATGTGGCTGGGCAGTGGCCTGGGGCCAAAGCACTGAGTACTTTTTTGGTGCCACCATTAAATTAGTGAAGTTGCCTTTGTAAAAATACTTAGTTTACTAATCTATAGAGAAAGATTGCCCATCACTAAGATCTCAAACATACAATTTTATGACTTTAAACTTAGAGGAAATTTTGAAATTTGTGTGATTTCTCTTCAGCCTTCGGATAGAATTTGATACTGAAAACTTTTCACTACTTTTTATACTTTTTAACGATACAAATTCTGAATTCGGTTTGACAAAATCATAGTGATAATGTGACTGACTCTGTGTTTTCCATTTGTGGAGTTAGTAAGTGTCGCTGGGAGAAGAAATACTTACATGTACTATTTTATCTTTTATCATAGCTGGATAAATTTGCCAGCATTAGAATTCCGGGGAGCAAGAAAGAGCGACTTCCTCTTCCCAACCTGAAGACTGCGTTTGCAAGCAGTGACTGCTCGTTGGCACATTCAGAGATGATGGAAAACATTCCAAAGCCGCTGTCGGAGGATGAAGTCTTACAGCTTTTTGAAAAGATGATGGTAAGAATTTTGCCTCTTTATAGATTGAGAAAAAGTCTTAGTTTTTGTTTATGTCAATGGAATTCTTGAACATGCTTGGCACTCACGTTCCCTAGGGTGATCCCAGATGTCATTTAAGATAGCAATTTAGTCATAGATTGCTTTTGAATCACAAAAATAAGTGTGAAGAAAAACATCACACCAATTTTTGTTTTATATAGTGTTTGTTTGCTAAAACAAGCAGTCCAGTGTATCAGCTGGTATGCTTGATTTAAATAGATTGTTTGAGTGGTTTGTCTTAGTTCAGTAGATTTTAGAAGATGATCACAGTGCTGTGTACCAAGTGTACTTTTTTTGACTTTGTTTTGTTCTTTTTATAAAAATATATTTATGCTCTTTATTGTTCTGCAACAGTGATGTCTGTAGAGTTGAACTCAGTTCTCTTGGAGTGTACCTGTCATGGTAGAGACACATAGTGTCCTTGGGGCCTTCTTCACTTGGTTCTTTTAACCATGATTCACTGACTGACTTAGCCTCTGGTTTTTAAGCCAACTGCAGTAATGTGGACAAGAACCCAGCTAATTTAAAGTATATTCAAACCATGTACCATGAATGGATGCTAATTTCATCTAAACAGGTTTATTTACATATATAGTCTCTACTTTCAAGTTGCTTGCCTCCTAGGATTCAAAATAAACATTTGAAAAATTAACTGAGGAAGAAATGCCTGAAGGTAGTACTTAATAATTAAGTTCTTTTTATAAGTTACGTTTAGGAAGAAACTACTTTTGATTTTGAGATACTTAATTAGCTTTAGGGGAAACATAATAGATAGAATGCTATAATAGATTAGGGGAATTAAGTAGAAGAGGTAAATTTTAATTCAGGTTTTGGATAAGAACAGAGGGCAAGCAGATTCCTAAGTTTTCATTACTGAGAGTATATTTTTGGTATTTATTTTGCTTATCGCCTGCAAAATTTAAGCTTGGAAAGCTGATCTATTATTATGCAAGCTCTTGGTGTAGTGCTGATTTTGGTTTGTTGACCATGCATGTGTAACACCTTTCCTCTTTTGGCACCATAAGTTGATAAAATTTCAGCCAAGAGCAAAAGAAAATGTAACATTTTCTTGCTAACCTTTGCCACTGTTAATGAGACTTACATGAAGGTAGTTTTTTTCTGTACTACCTTTGAGGATTCAGGATGGTAAAATGCCCTTTTTTCCCTCTCATCCATGCAGTGTAAGTGGAACCATTTACCTTAATTATCTGTGAAATTCTGGAATGGTACTTTTGTGGCTCACTTGTGAGTACTTTTAAAAGATTTTTTTTTTTTCAGGCCAGTGATACAGCTCAGCGGCACACTGCCTGCTTGGCAAGTGTGAGGTCATGAGTTCGATTCCCAGTACCAAAAAAAAGTTTTTTTTTTTTTTTTTAAACATAACTGTAGGTACCAGCTGAGTAAGCAGAGCAACACCCCAGTCTCTCAGAATTAGGAATTACAGGTAGGGCTTTTACACTGAGCTACATTCCCAGCCATATCTCCTTTTTTTTTAGCTTGCTAAGTTGCCCAAGCTGGGCTAACTAAGACTTATGATTCTATTGTCGCAGCTTCCCAGCGTGCTGGGATTACAGAAATGTGCTATTGTGCCTGGTTGTAAGTAGCTTATTGATGTGAAACATTTATGGAGTGATACTATTATTAATTTTTTTTGGTGGTCCTGGGGAATGAACCTGAGTCTTATAGATGATAGGCAAGCTCTGAGCTACATCTTCAGGCTGGCCTTGGGCTCCTTTCTAGACCAGGCTGGTCTTGAACTTGCAATGATCCTCCTGCCTCAATCTTCTGAGTGTTGGGATTACAGGAGTGTGCCATCATGCCCAGCTGGACTATTCATTATTAAATATTATTATTATTGAACATTATTGCTATTTACATATTTTATAACCATAAGCAGTTAAAAGGACAAGAACCTAGAAAGTACTGAATGTTGTTTACACTATTTTTTTGGTAGTCTTCAGAGAGGAGGATTATCAGTTATAACAGTATATATGGGACAGATGGATACAGGCATTGTTGAAGTGATTAAGAAAATCTTTTTAATTACTGGGCCAGAAGACTTGTTAAATCTTAAACAAGTCTACTTGTCAGAAGATCTTTTGCAATCAAATCATCCCTTTACTCAGCAGAGGTAAAATGAAATTGTCGCTTTCTTAGAGCTGTTCAATATGCTAAGGAACAAGGTAGTCACAGCTAACGTCTTTTTCAGAAACGAGGAACCGATTCATTCCATTCCTTTGATTTTTTGAGTATGTTGTAATATTCTGAAGTGAAAGACTGCTTTTGATTCTGACACTGAATTAATGCTAAAGAGACTGAGGAAGGGTATTTACCTTCTTTAAGTGTGGAATAGTGGTATGTCTGAGTTTTTTTCAGGAGTACTCTATTTTTGACAAAATTAAAGCTGTTTTATTTATAGAGAATGTTAGATTTAAACTGGATTTGATTTTTGGCTTGCTATCTGTAATGTGTTTATTAGTAAAAAGTCTCCCGAGAAAGCAACGTTCAGTAATCAGCCATGTTAACTTTTTTGTTCTTGCCCTTAGAAGTTTTATACTATTTAAAATCTTTTATCTGGGCTCTTTGTTTTGGCAGTGTACAATTTAAAAAAATAAATGTCCTTATCACTTATCAAAATATTTAATTTGTATGTGGAGTAAAACTGTCTTGAACACTTCTTGTCCCTCTAGAGTGTCAGTCCTTTGAAAGACTGTTACTTGATTACTTAATCAATGCGAAGTACACTGTCATACTTAACACTGGCACTCATTTTTCCTACACTTAGGAAATTGATTTACTTGATCTCTATAATAGTTTCCATGTCCTTTGCTAAAATAGTGAGAAAGTTTTACTTATGCTTTTAAGGGCCCTTTCCCTCTTTATTTTTTTATATTAGCAGAATTTTTAACTAAAAACCCAGCCTGGTTTCTCTGTAGATCTTAGGTATGTGATATAGTTGTGTTGTGCACTGTCTACACTGTCCTGATTTGTGAAGCAAGTTTTGGAGGTTACCTTTTGCATTTCTTGTAGCCACGTGTGTTTGGATGAGCAGGACGTGATGGGTGCACGTTCCAAGTGACTTGTGTATTGCAGCTGCTCACTCTTTGAACTGGTCCTCTCAGCTTACGTTGTCCAGAGACTTCTTATTGTCTGCCAGTAACAAGGACACTGCATTAATGTAACTGACAGAATTTTCATTGATTCTTTTCCCACTCCAAGCTTGCTACTCTGCAGTAGGGGCTGTTATTGGGGTGCAGTTGGCCCCTTTGCTCTTCTTGCTTCTCTTCTTTACTGTATACTGAATCCCTTTCCTTCCAGATTAGACTACAAGGAGAGGAGGAGGACGCATTTGCTGCCTGAGGGTACTGATAACCTGCCATTGGTTTCCTAGCAGGTATATTAGTTTCCTATTGCTCCTGTAACAAGTTACCACGGTTTTAGGGGTTTAAACAGCACAAATGCAGTTGCATGGGTTAGAAATCCAGGTTGGCTTCACTGGCTTGGTGAATTTCACATGGTTGAAGTCATCTGGTTAGGCTCTCAGGTTTTGTGAAGGATTTTCATAGCTCATTCTTGTGATTCTTTGAAGGTGTAGAATTGAGGTCCTGGTTTCCTTGCTGACTAAAACTGCGTTCTGCTCTTAATTTCAAGAGACTTCTGTCCTGTTGTTCATGTGAGGCCCTACATTTTAAAAGCTTCAAGTTCATTTCATGGCTGGAGTTTTTCAGGCTTCTTGTTTTAATGTGCCAGACTTGGATCTGTCCAGAGTAAGTTCTGTGCTTTAAAGGGCTTGTACTGGATTGGGCTCCCCTGGATAATCCAAGATAATTTCCCTACTTAAAATTTATTATTTTAATTACATTTGCGGAGTCTCTTTTTTCCATGCAGTATAATACTCCATAAGATCAGGCATTAGGGCTGTAGGTCTCTTTGCAGGGGCCGATTTATCTACAACTGATAAGGAAGATGACAAATGCTGATTCTTTGCTCCTTCGGTATCATGGCCTTGTTTTCTAATAATATCACCTGCATTTCCCAAGTTATTGGTGATTTCTTTGTCTATCTGACTTGTCTTTCTGGAGTTCATTCCTCTGCTTGAGTTACCGTGTAGATGTGGCACTTCTAAGATGGCTCAGGCCTGAATTTTCCCTGAGCTTCAGATGCTGCTAATAATATCCTTTGTATTGTTCCTCCAGATCCTTTTTCTACAAAGGGTACTTCACTCTGGCTGTTTCTACCAATCATATATAATTTTTCAAGGGTTTTATTTCAAGTGTTTACCCCTCTAACTATGAAAATTTTTTAATGATCAGGCTTTCTTTGCCACATACAAATTGCTGACCATGTTTGGTTATTGGCATTTCTTTTCATTTTAGGTAGTGTGATACTTCTTTCTCTTTTCTGATTTCCATCCTCTTTGTCTGGTTCTTTTCCTGTCTCCTCTCCTATCTGTTCTTTTATTGTGTGAGTGTTGCCTTTGGCCCTCCTTTGCTTGTCTGTGCATTGGTTTTGTCCGCACTCCTACTGGAGCTGGGAGCCCTTTCCTACTGTACACCACCCCCTATGCTTATACCTTGCTGTGTTTTGTACAGGAGAGCGGGTGCAGTCCAGCTTTGTAAAACATGCTAAACCTTAACATATCAGAAACTGAATGTACTGTATTGCTTTTAAAAAATCAAAACTTTCCTATCCAGGAAGCATACCCTGAGCTTAGTCAATCTTGATCCCATTAGGAGAATGTTCATGAACTTTTACTGTTTTGTCCTTGTTAGATCTCCTTGTGTTTCTCCCCTGCTTTAGTTCAAGGTTCCTTGTCTCTTACTGAGCTACTGCATAAGGAGTTTCCCCCATTCATCTCAGATAGTTCCGTCCTCAAGAGTTAAATACAGTGGACCTTTGAGTTACAATTGGCCTCATGGCTGGAATTACAGCTATGACCAGAATTTTAAGTTTAACTTACA